AATAAATTATTTATTTCCTAAACCATATAATACAAACCAAGAAATAAGAAAACTCAGATAATGTTCAATAGAAGTGGGTTTACTAAAGCTCGAATAACCAAAGATGTCTGGAGTTATTATATTGTAAAAGGGATTAAATGCCTAAATGTTTAGAAATTTGAAGCCTTTTATTCAAATTGTAATGGATATAACCATCTGAAGAAGTACTTGATTTCCATCTACCATGCTTATTTAACAAACTGGTATCTAAATTGAGAGTACTATTTGCACAAGCTGAAGCTCCGCCACTACGTAAACTATGTAGACCAAATTTATTTTTGTCTTCACCAATTGCTACTATAGCTTGCAAAAATATTTCCCTGGATCTCGTGTACGACAAAGGACTCAAAGTGTTAACTGGTACGTATTTGTTTTTACTTTTAAGAAATTTGACCTTTGTAAATATGTATTCGTCTGAGGAAACGGTTAAACTTGCGGCAGCTAAATAATTTTTTAACCACGATACCGGACATAGTTTATTTCCCGTCTTAGCAATGACAATTTCTGAACCTTTTTGTAACTGATCAGTTTTACTTTTCTTAATAAACAAAGACATATGATTTTCATAAATTTTGATATCTTTCATTTGTAACGAACTTAGCTCACTAAATCTCAAAAAACCTGAAAATCCAAGAATACACATTGTACATAATCTATTATCTTTAAAGTTCATCTTTCCTCCATTACTATACAAATTTACAATACGATTCAAAATGTCTGCTGTAACTGGTTGTTTCTTCCGTTTTGGTTGGCACAAGATACGTCTGCTTCCGTCAAAAGTCAGTTTGGTTAATTTGTGTGCACACGGATTATCAAAGAGTGATAATTCGTGCTTCCAGTTTATTGCATAAAAATAACCTTCCAGAACAGAATTAGACACTTCACTGATAGTTAAATCACTCAGAAAAAGACAAACCGTAGTTACTTTAGCTGGTAAACTGATAAAACCATGTTCACCGCACCAAACGTCAAATTTGTTGAAGTATCCAATGTATTTCTGATTGGTATTCTTGGATTTAGAAGCCATAACTATGTCCGGCATCATACTAGCTGCTGCCCCAAGAGAAACATGATTTGAAAACTTTGAAATCTCTTCCCATATTGCATGATTTTTACGTTCCTGCAAATACAAAAAGATGTTATAAAGAACTGTCAGTAACCCGAAGAACACATTCGTACATTTTTTTTATATTTTTTTTTTGCAATTCTCAAAATCAGTGAACTAGTAAAGCTATAATATAAACAAGAAATATTTTATACAGAGCCATTCTGAAAATAATCTCTGGTTTACTATAAATCTTTCTCAAAATTCTTTCTAAAAACAACAACAAAAACTAAAAGTTATTCAAAATTTCTCTTGTGATAACTGTAAATCCTTGAATGATAATCTTCACTAAGAAAAAACTGAAAAAAGTCTATAAAAGAAATGATTATTTCTAGGATAACTGATTTTCTTCAATAATAAATACTCTTTACTAGAATAACCATGAATCCTTCAATAATAATTCATCTTAACTAGGATAACTGTAGATCCTTTCATTAAATAATTCTCATTCTAGGATAACTGTAGATCCTTTCATTAAATAATTCTCATTCTAGGATAACTGTAGATCCTTTCATTAAATAATTCTCATTCTAGGATAACTGTAGATCCTTTCAATAAATAATTCTCATTTCTAGGATAACTGTAAATCCTCTCATTAAATAATTCTCATTCTAAGATAACTGTAGATCCTTTCAATAAATAATTTTCATTTCTAGGATAACTGTAGATCCTTTCAATAATAATACTCATTACTAGGATAACTGTAGATCCTTCGATAATAAATACACTTTACCCGGATAACTGTAATTCTTTAAATAATAAGAACTCATTACTAGGAGAACTGTAAATATTTCAATAATAAACACCTTTACTAAACGACAAACTCGTTAAAATGACAACTGTAGATCCTTTAATGATAATTTCTATTTCCTATAATAAAATTAAATTCTTTTAAGATAACCACTTAGTATTTGGAATCACTAATTTACATATGTTTTTTTTTATTATTATTATTATTAATTTAACCAATTAACCTTATTATTGTAAAAAACCCTACCATTTCTAAAAATAATCAACAAAGTCAATAAAAAACTCTTGTATAATAACATTATCTTCAATAAAATGATAATCTAATTTAAAATTGTTTCGATATATAATTACTGCACATGCTCTAAATAATTTTGACTCTCATGACAAAATCTTAACCAGCGCATATTGTGTAAATATAGATTACACTATATATACTTTGAAACTTGCTGCGTAATATGAAAAGAAAAGTCTGTAGTTTTGTAACAATTTCAGAAAAGACACGCTCAGTTTGAATAAAAAAATCTTAATTTTTTTTTTTTTGAAGTATATAGAAAAGGGGTAAGTAAGCTTCCATTCATAATTTTATTTTTAACACTAAAACACTCCCGTTAAAAGGAGATACTGCAAAGACACTGTTAAAACACGAACCTGGAACAAAAAATGATTTTGGTTTCTCATATTCCACAAAATCAACTACAAATTCCCTGTATGAACCAGTAAACGTATTGACAATAGCTGGCCAAAACATGGAAGACTTCCATTTAGGGACTACTAAAGTTCCCTCTGCCCCACATTTAATCATATGTTGAATGACCTTGTTTACTAAGTGGACAGGAGGTACTAACCAATTATTCTTTCCTGACCAATCAAACGCAAATGCATCTACTCCTGATGTCCCAGGGCACCAAAACTGAGAATTAAATATTTCAACATGTTTGTTTCTATTGTCAGCAAATCTGTCAATATGAAACGGACCCCACACATTATTAAAATATTGAAACACTAAGGGTGAAACTGCCCAATCATCAAAGTCCAAAATCTTACTGTAAGCGTCAGCTTCTACATTCATATCTCTTGGAACCCAAGATGATTCCAAGAGTATTTTGTGTTGTACACAGAAGTCAAATATTCTTTTTGCAATAGCCTGCAAAATAACTTTTGTGCTTCCACGACTGCAAATTCTAACTATATTCTGATTATCAGTATAAACCTTAACAAATTTACCACTCAAATGTTTCTCAAAGGACTGTAATGCGAACTCTAAAGAACGCAACTCTCTAAATGTTGAACTCTGTTTAACCTCTATTTCAGTAAATGAGACTCTAGAAACTTTATTAATTGAGCTTAATAAAACTCCCGCCGCCGCCTGATTGCTGGCGTCGACGAACAAAATTCTCTCTGGCATTCTACCGAGAGACACTAACGACCTAAAGGGAAGTAACTCTAAATTCTTAGACCAAAAATGTAACTCTGCCAAGGACGGGGAATCTAGCGAAACAATTGCATCCCAAGAAACGCTGTTACTTATGGGAACATGAAGATTTCGTGTCATAATGTGACATACATTCCCAAAACAAAATGACATTGATATTATTGTTCCTACTATTTTTGCCAATGAACGTGCTGTACATTTCCCTTGAATCTGCATACAACTTAAAATCATGTGCTTAAGCTTTTCAATTTTTCTAATTGGAATTTCTACAAGACCTTTAGATAAATCCCACAAACTTCCCAACCATTCTAGGACGGAACAAGGTTCCCATTGACTTTTTTCTTCATTAGCTATTAAACCTGCTCTAATTAAATCCTCCCTAACCTGTGAACTTACTTTATAGCATAATTCTGGGCTGTCTGTACCCCAACCGTCATCCAGATATACAATAATCTTAATTCCCATTCCTCTCCAGTATTTAACCAATGGCCTTAAAAGTTTAGTAAACAACCATAGAGCTATAGATATTCCAAAAGGGAGAACTGTAAAAAAAAAATATTTATGAACACCGTTCTCTACCCAAGAAAATCCTAAGTAAGTTTGATATTCTTTATTTATGGATACGTGATGATAGCCAGATTTTAAATCAAACTTAAACATTAGATTACCCTTTTGACAAAAATCTAAAGCTTCTTTCTGACCTTCAAACTTGAGTTTCCTATTTAACACGTGCTTATTAATATGACGTAAATCTAAAATAAGCCTCTCTTTACCATTTGAGTTTACTGAAACAGTCAACGGATTAACACAAAAAGGTTTACTTTTAACTTCAATAACGCATTGCTTTTCTAAAAGTTCAGAAATAGCTGACGAAACGAATTTATGATGTTTCACAGAAGAAAGATTGTTTCTTAAGTAAATAGAACTAGGCAGTGTCTCAAACGGAATCTTAAATCCGTTTCTTATAACATCTTCTATAAATGTATTAACTTTGAGATTTTTTACCCAAAAATCAATGTGTCTATTGATACTGTCTTTGACTGAAATTATATCATTTTTCTCGAATTTTTTGGAAACATATGAATTAAAATACTTAACTCTACTTTCCGTTACTGGCGTCTGGTTTTTCTGTTGTGACGGAGGGTTGCAGCTTACTAGCCATGAATCTCTGGGTGTACGGGCAGTCTCTGGCAAAGTGTCCGGGCAGATTGCAGGAGAAGCAATGACCTGTAAATCCCTGATTTCTTTGCACGTTTCCCGGGATATTTGTTTGGAAATAGCTCTCAAATCTTGGTGAATACCCACGAAAGGGCGCCCGTTGTTGAAAAAGTGGCCTTGGCTGGGACTGAGCACGTGGTGGTGGAAAAGTCTGACTACTTCCATATGGACTATATCTGCGTGACCTATTTGCCCTTGCAATAGCGCCTCGTAGCTTAGAAGCATCGTCATCATTATCAGCAAGCGGGTCAGCGTCATATTCCCTGACGGTATCCCAGCCATGTTTGTCGGCAATTTTTAACAGCTTGTTTCGTTTACGAATCTCCAAGGCTTCGTTTTGAGCAATATCTTTGATGGCAGAAACGTTTTTGAAGTCACACAAAGCCTCTATTCTATTCAAATTGTTCAGGCGTTCAGAGTTGAAATTAAACTGTCTTTTACAAGAATCTGTTTTGAAATCAAAAGTACCTGCGTTAGCCGGTTTATTGCCGCCGAAATTCCCAAATCTGAATTCTAACTCGTCTAAGATTAAGCCTCTCTGTTTATCCAAAGTCTGTTCTATTTGAGACGAAATGTCGTTTCTCACTGGAGTCGAAGGCGTTCCATTTTCCTCGCTAATGATGTCCCCTCTGGGAAGTGAATCCTCTTCCTCGCTCATCGAGTTATTGCAATACAAATTTGGTGAACCTTGCGAACTGTGTAGTAAACCTCGAATGATTTAAAACCGCAAAAGTACTCATGAAAATCTCGTGCCCCGTGCATTATTCTACGCAATTTTAAACCAAACACCAAAAAGATTAATAAGTACCAAAAAGAAAAGAGTAATATCTTCTCCTGTGTGTGTACTCAAAAGACGTTTTTATCAAATAAATGTATTCATGAATTCAATGTAAAATGATGTAGCATGTGATGGGATTTATTTTCCTTTCTTATAAAGCGATATAATTCATAATACAAAGATACACAACAACAACAACAACAACAACAGAATATGAAAAGCTCAACTTGAGTTGTTTTAGTTCGATTGTGTTAATGGCTATTTTTATCGAAATACCGTCGAAACCAGTCCTGGAACAAACCAGTACTAGACAATGAGTGTCTCAGGGAATCAACGGCTTGCCTCTGACAGCGTTTCAAACTCAGTCATGCTACCACTTTCCAAAGATAAGTTATTACTTACATAAAGTTTCAAGATTTCAATGTTTGGTTAGAGTTAACTGATTTTACCGCATCAAATTAAATCTGAATTGTAAAATTACCTTATTGATATATTCTTTCAACGTCTGGAATATGGCAAATAACTCTTGCAGATGTTTCTTATCTTTCACAATTTACATCAAGTTTCATATCCACGTTCTCAGAAATTTGAAAAACAGATTTGCAGGATGGATGTTGTATGTTATGTAATAAACAAGATCTGGTTTTGAAGAAGTACACGCACCGTTAATGTTCTGATATAGACTGTATATTTGTCAGAATTTATTGTTTTTATAGTAAGAAGGCCATCAATTTTAAGGTATATTATACTCAAATGTTTAATTTAAAAATAATGATAATACGTTACAGTCTCTTTTTAAATGTTAAATAAACACCTTTTGGGTACACACAGAGAAGATTCGCTACGCATTACATGTAAATACAGTAGAAACACAAAGCACAATGCAAATGGTCATTAAAATGGCATTTTTTAAGAAAGAATTACACTTCCTGGAACAATGATAGGATTGTAGCTTCTTACACATAGCTTGTGCAGTCTCATATTAAAAGTAAATATATTCAGTAAGAATTTCCTGAAGTTCAATAATTTCTGCAATAAAAATGTTTTTTTTTAAGACAGCATAGTTTGTCTTTTAAATTTTTACTATTATTTCTTACTTTGAATAAAATAGAAAATTATATTTAACATTTTGATTTATAAATATAATATGCCCATCTTTGAGTAAAATAATGTTATTGAAGAAATTTATTGAAATCTGCGTGATTTTAATTAATTTGTCTTGTTGTACAAAATATACATTGGAAGCTGCATTCTCTATTTACAGGTCTAGTGAAGGTGGTCATCTCTTTTCAAAAAACTACTTTTTTTTCAACGACACTATGTTTTCACAGAGTGAGGAGTTCCTACGACATTGCTACTTGAATATGTTTTTATTTATTTAATTTACAATAGAGACTGTGTAGCGATTACCAAAATCTTAAAACATTGAATTTGAGCATGCTATAGCTTAAATTTGCTTTGTTTTCTTTTCCATTATATTTGATTAATACTACTAAGCTAGATGGTAGAAATTCGTAGAAAAATTAATTAAATTGTCCATGACAACATTTTTGATCTAAAACATTACAAGAGATATAAGTGAACAATATTGTATTTACAGAATAGATTTTTATCGAGTTCATAGCGATATGTCATTATGTTAACAATGTTTACGTACGTTTCTTTTTAAATAATTTTTTCATAAATATGTAACCATTATACTTTTAATAGTCAATCAAACATTGAACGTGATTTTCTGAAAAGAACTGAATTATTCAGCATCAGCTCGGAGACGTTTATTAAGTTTGTTGTAACTTTTAAGAACCTTCTCTGTTTCTCTTGCAAGAGATAGCAAGGTCTACCAGGTCATTCGGACAAGCTTGTTGGTGTCAAGCTGGGCTCCTTGCCGCTGGTCATGTGTTGGGGAATGCATTCAGTGAATGCCACCCTTACTTGTGGAGTTTGATTTTTTTTTATATTTGACGCCTCATTCGCCCATGTTGAGAAAATACCTGGTAGCTGTTGTGCTTCTCCTAGCTCCTACCTATTGTCTGGTGGGAGAAATAGTTTATAACTCGTACATATTACTGTAATCTGTTTCTTTCAAATGTCTTGCAGTGTATTTAAATTGTGAAGAATAAAACATTGTCATTTCTTTGCCAATCTCCAATTCCTACAACAAATAAGTTAATGTGACTTTATGCCCATCAAGTGTAAACGGTGAGTGCATAGGTTAAAGTCAAAATAACTTTATATTTTGCCATAATTGTGTTTAATTTTATATACTGCTATTCAAAAAATAGTTTTAATAGTCCATGTGACCAACTAACATTTCTAGAAATAATGTTCGGAGTGTATCGATAAGGTTCAATCTTCAAAACGAGTGAGGCAGAATCTTTTTTTATAATTTAGGTAGATTTTGTATTTTATCCTCAACATTTTACATTATCAATTATTGGTCAATCACCATTATAACAGTCAATTTCTTGATACAAATTTATAGCTAATTTTACTCAAATTGACAGCGAAAAAAATAGCATGTCAATTTCAACGTGCGATAAACCATTTCTTTTTTGTATCGGCCGATGAGATATATAGCATTTTTCATTTAAAAAACCTTTCACGGCAACCAATCATTTTTGTTATCACTGTCCTTGAAGGACAATCTCTCATCCAGATATATAGCTTAACAGTGAATTAAGGTTAACAGTTTTAGTAGATGGCACTGATAAACCAATTTTACAATAAAACTTTGTTTTAAACTAAATATATAATATGTAATTTAAATGTACTTGAAATATCATCATGTAAGATAATATATGTATAGGAACTTTAAAACTTCATGTGATTTACTGGCAGATGTATCAAGTTATAAACTTCTCTGCGTATTAATATTGTTTACTACAGCACAGTAAGACTCGTATTATTCTTCATAGCATCATCGCTGTAAGTATTGACCTACTTGTTTAAGATCAAAGGAAACGAAAACAAGAAGCTCAGTAAAATTATTATCAAATAACTAAGACTTCGTTTGTTTATGCTTTTTATTGAACTAGTGTTTGATGATTTATAACGTTAACATTAAACAGCGTGATAGTTTATGGTTTATTTTAACGGGAAAAATATATATCAGATAAACTTACAAAAATGGGTCGTAGACAGAAATAGCCGGGTTGCATCTGTATACCAAATTCGTGAGACTGTGATGTTACTAAAATTATCTACCATTGACCATTTATGTCGAACATTTAACTAAGTCGGTTAACAGGAAGTGGATAAGTGACACACCTGAAATGAAATCCTATGGTATGGGACCATGTCATAATGATGTATACCAAATATCAAGAGACTGTGATAAGTAGTTGCTGAGAAAACTATTACGAAAATTTCCTACCATTGACCATTAATGTCGAAAATTTAACTAAGTCGGTAAATAGGAAGTCGATGAGTGACAGAACAGAAATTGAATCCCACGGTATGGGACCACGTGTTTATGCTGCATATCAAATATCAAGAGCCTGTGATAAGTAGTTGCTGAAAAATGTTTTGAAAATTTCCTACCATTGGTCATTAATGTCAAAAATTTAACAAAATCGGCAAACAAGAAGTGGATGAGCGACAGACCTGAAAATTGAATCCCAAGCTATGGGAGGCTGTGATAAGTAGTTTCTGAGAAAACTGTCACGAAAATTGTTCCCGACCGCCCGCCGTCTGACATTCACCATACTATAACTCGGTTTGGACTTGTGCAACTCGGCCAAAATCTCTCTTATGAGAACATTCTGACAAAAGAACCCATATAATGGTAAAGTTTGAAAAAATGTTATGTTATCGGAAGTAAAAGGTCTTATTTATCTTTTACTTTAATGTCAGATATTTTTTAGTATTTTGAATTGTAAAACTATGCAAAGCTGTGACCAAAGCAGTCGTTTTACATTCCAAACATATTTCATGGATGTTAACAACATTAAAATCTGGAGAAAATGAATATAAGCCATATTTAAGGCAGATAACAAAACCTAGATATTGTACTTTTTATTTTGTAAATTAGATATAGTTTAATTGGTATAATATTCAACTTCAAGGTATATTAGGGATGCTCAATGGTAGTAATAAGAAATTAAATTTATCAGGATAATAATACATTCAACATCATGAAATAAATTATACCAGTAAAAGAAACTAATTAAATTAGTCTCCTTTTGATAAAATATTAAAACTTCTTAAAATTCGAGAAAAAAATTAAACTTTACTAAGAATTACAAAACAAGTATAATTAACCAATGAAGAGTACTGTGATATATTTTTTATTATTTTATTTATTTATTTTATCTTACTTATTGTTTTAATATCAATTTTATAACAGTACATTTTAAAGAAAGTACAAGTCAGATAAATACTTGAATCCTTACTTGTCTCTTAAAGATGTCAAGTACTCTAACAGCTGCCTCACAGCAAGTAACATCTGTCGTATTAAATTCCTCCAAGAGAAATGAAAACAAAATCAAAGGCAAAAAGTTGATTTTTTTAAATCTATGTAAACAAGAGTTCCGTTGACAGAATCGATAAAAAGATTATGTAAATAACATGTTTTTAGATCCTCATTGTTTGTCACATGTTACTATTTCTGATATTCATGGCCATAGCAACTGTTACATGTAAAACAATTTGGAAAAGTGGTGATCTATCGGAAGAAATGGGAAAAAAACAATATGATATGAAAGTTGCTGATTCAGTTTAATTGAGTTTGTTCATGAGAGATAATGTAATGTGCAACATCTCACATGCCACCTAGCATTGGCTTAATCTCCAACACCAATCTTCAACATTAACGTGCTGGAATCAATTATCCCGAAGGGCTGTGTTAAATTACGCGCACAAAGTCTGTTGCGACTTATTTAAAGGCTTATTATGCCTCAGAAATGTTTTACTTTTTATTTCTCAAAAGCTACTAATATTGTAGTTTCCAAATTGTTACTCATTGGCCATTTATC